GGCTCCCAAACACAGGCTTTGGCTCGCAGATCTGCTGGCTTCTTGCACTTCCTCAGGGCATTTCTTTTCTTTTCTTTCCTTTTCTCCCTGATGAACCCTTGAATTCACGGGACTCTGGACACCATGTTACAGAATCACAGAATCATAGAATCACCAAGGTTGGAAAAGAGCTCTAAGATCACCATCCAGCAGTCCACCTATCACCAATATTTGCCACTAAGCCGCGTCCCTCAGTACAACATCTAAACATTTCCTGAGCACTTCAGGGATGGGGATTGTTCAGCTGTTCTTGGTATCTGCACCTGAAAACTCTCTCCTCTTGTCTTTCTGCAGCACAGAATCATAGAATCATAGAATCACCAAGGTTGGAAAAGACCTAAAAGATCACCCAGTCCAACCGTTCACCTATTCCCAGTAGCTCCCACTAAACCATGTCCCTCAACACAACATCCAGCCTTTCCTTGAACACCCCCAGGCTCGGTGACTCCACCACCTCCCTGGGCATCCATTGCAGTGCCTGACCACCCTTTCTGAAAAGTAATACTTCCTCATGTCCAGCCTGAATCTCCCCTGCCGTAGCTTGAAGCCATTCCCTCTGGTCCTATCACTGATGACACGAGAGCAGAGGCCGACCCCCAGCTCACTACAACCTCCCTTCAGGAAGTTATAGAGAGCAATGAGGTCTCCCCTGAGCCTCCTCTTCTCCAGGCTGAACATTCCCAGCTCCTTCAGCCTCTCCTCATATGGCCTGTGTTCCAGACCCCTCACCATCTTCGTTGCCCTCCTCTGAACACGTTCCAGGGCCTCAATGTCTTTCTTGCAGTGAGGGGCCCAAAACTGGACACAGTACTCGAGGTGCGGCCTCACGAGTGCTGAATATAGGGGAAAGCAGGGGATAGCATGACGAGTGATGAGCAGTTGTTCCTGTGTCACCTACCCCTCCTTCCCATGACTCAGCCCCCTCTGCTCTTGCAGCTGCTGGCAGCCCCACTGTCCTGCAGCACCATCCCCGGGCCCATTGCCCTGGGTTGGGGGCCAGGGTTCCCACCCACCGTGCCCACGTTTGCTGGGAGGCAGCATGGGGCCCTCAGTGCATTGCGCCCGGAGCTGCAGGTAGCCCGGGGCCCATCTTTCTGATAAAAAGGAGAGAGCCAATTAATTCTGGAGCCAGAACAGCCACAGAAGAGGAGACTTCAGGGAGGATTTAGAGAGCAGTGGCCCAGATACATCAAACCGTCTGCAGCACAGCGCAGTATCCCATTAGGGCTCCTCTGTGTAACAGCTGATGTTACTTATCCTATTAGATGACTGACGCTGCTTTGATGTATTACCAGGAGACTGGGCCATGGTTTTCCCGGGTGGATTTCTGCCACCCCTGACGTGAGGTTCGTGCCCACCAGGCAGGGTTCTGAAGTGAGGATGAGCTGCGTGGCTCTGCTCCTTCCCTTTGCATGGAGGTGTTGTCCCCAGGCGTGCCAGCATCACTGCTCTTTCCCTGTTGCACTGGGCAGGCTCCTTGCTGACCAGGGAGGCTGCTTTGCTCTGCTGGGTCTGCTGGCCTTGCGCTGGAGCTCTCCTGCCTCCAGCCTGGAGTTAATTCTGCTGATTCCCGGTTTCTTCCCAACAACATGAGCTGTTCACGTCCACCAAAAGGTGGAGTGTTTAGCTAATCAAAATCCATTCTGAAATTAGGGACTGGTCTGTTTCTGTTGGCATTACCTCACCCACTTCCTCCAGGTCTGCTTAATGCAGATCCCCACACATCCACTGCAGTTTTGCCATGCTGAGGGTCTGCTAGGCAGAATGAACTTGACCTTTGTTCACGCTCAGCTGGGGCTTAGCTGAGCCCTGACGGAGCAGCAGGGCTGGAGCTGTTCTCAGATTAATGGGACAGAGCAGAAAGAAAAGTCACATTGCTGCCTACCACCTGGGGAGCTGTGAGATGCAGCCTTGACCTCAAATAGTTCCTATCTGCAGGCAGAGAGAAGGGAAGAGGCTGCTGTGATCAAGTGCTGGAGCACTGCAAAGAAGCAATGTTTTGTTAAACTGATAAAACCTGGCACCCACATCGCTGCAGGGCTGCACATACTGTGAGTGCAGATGAAAATTCACTGGCTTGGAAGTAAAAGGGTGTTAGAAGTGCCTCTTTGGAAAATGGCCGCGGGGTGACATCTGTATCATCTTCTGTGCGTGGGCTTGGAATGTGAAAGATATTTCTGGAGAGCTGAACCTTACCAATAAAGCTGGCTATCTCCAACAGCCAATAAAGCTGGTGAGCTCTGACAACCAATGAAGATGGTAAATTCAAACAACCTCATGTCATGTCCTTGTGAACCCATCACCCCGCAGCGACCTCACATCTGCTGTGCTGTGGGGTGATGCACGCAAACCCAGTGAGGAGAGTCCATCCAGGAGAACGTGGCAGAAGTTTGGCTGTGGAATGGGACCAAAGCTCAGCATAGCTGCTGCACTGCAGAGCCATTAAACGTGGTTTGGGATGTGCAGATAACCCTGCACAGCTGGGGGACAGCGTGGTGGTCAGCATGCAGGGAGAGGGAGAGATATGACTAGAGATCCCAGCCAACATTTTGAGTTTCAACCCCAGTAAGATTCCATCCCCAAACAGCCCTTGTCACTCTCAGCCTGGTGCCAGTGCCACTTTTCAAAAGCCACATTCCAACCTGTCCCTCTGCTGGGAGAAAGAAGAGGACAGACTCTTTAGCGGGGTCTGTTGTGACAGGACAGGGGGAATGGTTTCCAACTAAAAGAGGGGAGATTTAGATAGGATGCAAGGAAGAAGATTTGTACACTAAGGGCAGTGAGGCACTGCACAGGTTGCCCAGAGAGGCGATGCTGCCCCATCCCTGCAGACAGCCAAGGTCAGGCTGCAGGGGCTCTGAGCACTGATGGAGCTGTGGGGGTCCCTGTGCACTGCAGGGAGTCGGACCTGATGGCCTTTAGGGGTCCCTTCCAACTCCAGTGATGCCCTTGGCAGAGGAAACTGGCCAAGGAAACAGGAAAGAACGATGGTACAGGAAAGTGCTGCAGCACCCGTGCAAAAAGGGACCAGCAGAACATATGCAGATAAGAAGGCAAAGCTTTGCCTTCTGAATTAAGGATCAGGAAGTAGCAACATGGTCATAAATATTGCTTTTCAATAACTGCGCTTGCAGGCATTGAATCCATCGAAACCTAAGAGGAAGGAGAGGTTCCTCCATGAGTGAGATTGGAACCAAAAGCTCCTTCCTCATCATGCAGATGCTCATAGAGCCTGTAGGTTATCACGAGAACTTAGTTCTGGCCCATACTCAGATGATAGTGGATTTTTAGTCCTATCTTCCCGATACATTAATGTTTGCTTTAAACAAATCGAATCCCTCTTTATAACACCATAAGAAAGCACAGAATGTGGCATTTATATCGCAGTAAAATTTTATGTGTGTTTGCACAACTACTTGACAGCACAAACATCGGTGTTTCCTTAGGGGATGTGCTTTGAGGTTTCCTGTGGGGAAATGGGACCACTCACAGCTCGCAGCTGGGAGACAGGCATTTTCCCTATTGCAGATGCTCCAGAGGCCAGTAAGGAAAAGGAAATTGTCAAGGGCAAGAGCTACCTGTACAACAGGGGATTGTATCTCGCCATCAGCACACAGCTCCTCGTCCTCTCTGCAGTCACACTGGGGATCGACTCCCTCTGAATTTGTTGCTCCAGCACTGTGCAGGGGTGCGAAGCAGAGCCTGTGCTGGTGGGTGAGCTGCCCTATGGCTATGGGCATGGTGCCTCTGGGGAGCAGACTGAGTCCTGGAGAACTCATTCTGTCATTTTTCTTAGCTTGGATTTTGGCAGAGAGGCAATTCCAGGCACACCGTGTCCTTCAGAACTCTAAAAGTTCGTCATCTTCCTCATGATCCTCCACGGGTCAGAGACTCCTGGCTCCTCGGATGGGACTTTTGCGAGCCTGGCGTGGCTTCATGGCCACCCCAGTGATCAAAGATCTGGTGACTTGTGGCATTCACACGGACCCATCAAGAACCATGAAATGCTGGGCATGGATAATGTCCCATCCCTATCAGATGCTGTTCAACCATCTCATCTGTGCAAAAGTGATTTTGAAACATCATGTAAGAGATCATGCAGGTGGGAAAACATCCCATTTTTTGATTCACACAGTAACTTTCTGGAAATCCTGTCCATCTCCCTGGTTGCTCTGATCCAGTGGCTGAGCTGCAAGCTGGTGCCCAGGAACAGCTCTGGAGATTTCCTGAGGAGATCTGGACTTCTCCATGCAAGCAACACAATTCAATTCTGCACACTCTGCCTAAGGAGAAGGAGATTCTCCTGGCACCAGGTGCTCCCCAGGGTGATGCTTGGGATCTGAGAGTGGGACACAAACAGTCTTGTGTTTCAGCTGGCCCCTGATATGACAAGGTAGACCATTTCCACCATCGTTTTGGTTCTGCTTCATGCCTGCTGGACTCCCGTTGAGCCACACAACATGTTCGTTCCAGAAGGAAGCAGGGATCTCACTGCACCCAGCTCCTTGCCACCTCGGCACAGATCCAGCAGGAGAGACTCCGGCGTGACAGGGCACTGCACTGAGCGGGGCTGCATCTCCAGCATGAACACTGAAGCGACAGGAGGGAGCTGAGCAAACATCTTGGAAAGCAGTTGGTATGTGTACAGGAGACCTGCGTGGCACACGGGGAAGCGCACCGATGAGCTTTTCTAAGAACTTGCTTGCCACTCTGCAGCTGGAGCGATATTTGCTCTGGTCCTGATAAAGGCTCTTATCAGAGAAGATCAATCTGCCTGCTGTGGGGAAGTGACCGTTTGGGTTACAGCCCTGTTACTGGCAGTCATCTGTGTGCCCCAAGGTGAGCACAGGACCGGCCCTGGGGCAGCGTCAGCCGCACTCCTCCCCAGCATCTGCAGCTATAAATCCTGTGGTTCAAAGCGTGTCTCCAGACACATCCTGGGCTTCTGAGTGTTTCTGTGGAGGCAGCATGGGTGAGTGCGTGTGAAGAGCAGGGTGGGTTGCCCCCTCTAAACCCACCGCACCAGCAGAGCCCTCCCTTTGCTCCTGTGGATGGAGGACTGGCTGCCAGGGCAGTAGGATGGCACCAGGTACTTCACAACAGCAGTGGAACTGTGCTCTACACTCACCTTGTCCCTTCTTCCCACAGCTTCCCAATGTGCTCCCCTCCTGCTGCTTGCCTGTGTGGTGGCCCTGCCTGCCCTGAGTCTCATTGGTGCTGCCCAAGACCTGACCCTCCTCAGTCGATCTGTCTCGAATAGCAGTCCATCAGCTCTCAGCGTGCTGACAGACGGTAGGTACACGAAAGGCCTTCATCTCTGCAGGCAGAACCATGCTCGGGCCCATGCACAGGTGTCCTGCCCTCTCTCTTTGTCTGGTAGGACGGGGAAGGTTGGTCCTGCAGGGAGGTGGAAGTTGGGCTGGCTCAGCAAGCAGGTCAGAAAACCTCTGCAGGCCGCAGCGGTCTGGGGTAAGGAAAGTCGGGTCCACAAATAGCACCAAGTGCCACCAGTGGTAGAAGAGCATGACTGATACCCATTTGGCTGGAGGCACAGATTGCAATGCCATGCCCAATCTCTAACGCAACAAAAATATTTGGAAATGGGGACTTTAGAAGATAAAGGCGCCTTCTCCATCCAGGAGGTGTTAAGGCTTTACATCTTACTGCTTGGGCTCCACCTCTGGAGACAGAAAGCATCTCCTGATCTGAGTTCCAGCTTTGCTGGATCTTCCCTACTTCTTCCAACTCTTCTCCGTGCTGTTGGTTTCCATGTCACAGGTAAGATCCGCCTGGTGAATGGCTCCAAACCCTGCTCTGGACGGGTGGAGGTCTGGTACCACAATGAGTGGGGAACGGTGTGTGACGACGGCTGGGACCTGAAAGATGCCTCTGTGGTCTGTAGGCAGCTTGGCTGCGGGGAAGCAGTGTCAGCTCCATCTCAAGCTTTCTTTGGAAGTGGATCCGGACCTATTTGGCTGGATGATGTTAACTGCATTGGGAATGAGAGCCTCCTCACTCAGTGCACGCTGAGGGCCTGGGGACAACACAACTGCAGGCACAGCGAGGATGCAGGCGTCGTGTGCTCAGGTAGAGCGTGCTGCTCTGTGTCCCTTACTAATATCCAACTGCAGGTGTGCAATGGGATGCACCTCTGCCTTCTTCGACGGGGTCTTATTAGATTCCCCTCTCTCCTGCCACACTGGCCAGTATGGGGTGGGTCCAGTGCCACTCTGTGTGGAAAAGGGCCTCACAGCATCTCTCACCCCAACCCCACTCCAGGTTTAATGCTGACAGAGGTGAGGAAGTGCCCAGCACAGGCTGCAGTGCTCGTGTGTGTGTGTGTGTGTGTGTGTGTGTGTGTGTGTATGTGCACCATGCAGGTGATGAAGGCACCTGTGTGCTGGCAGAGGCTGTTCTTCTCTCTCCTCAGCCACAGGAAGGGGCAAGGTCCTTTTCACATCCCTGTCCAGTCCAACTCTGTTTTAGCCACACAGCCCCTTTCAGCATCTATATTGTTCTCCGAGTCTGATACCAGCATGGTCCAGTGGGACTGTTGCCCTTCCCTTGGGGCCACCTCCTGCCAGGTCCTGTTGGAGAAGATGAGCAAAGGTCTGAGGCCAACCCAGTCGCACTGTCAGGAGACCGCATTGACCTCTCTGGGCTGGGACAGCTGAGAATCTGCGAGGCGCTCTGGCCAGTTGTCCGTCTGTTCTTCCACAAGATGAAGGCGTGCTCTTTTTCTGTTGCACAGCCTTTTGTTAAAGCACGCTCTCTCCTGCCCCAGGTTGGCCCAAGGACTGCAGTGAGCTCTCTGCAGGCAGC